CAAATGATATAAGACATCATATATAAAGTTAAAAATAAAAACAAAAAAGACCAAGCATGAGGATGCATGCCTTTAATCCCAGCACTCAGGAGGCAGAGGCAGGTGGATCTCTGAGATTGAGACCAACCTGGTCTACATAGTGAGTTCCAGGCTAGTTAGGGCTACGGGGAGACCCAGTCTCAAAATGAAAAAAAAAAAAAAGAAACAAAACAAAAAACAATGATGAACTATCATGATAGATAGATAAATTAAACATCTATTCTCATAGTCAAAAAAAAAATCTGGTCCCCTAAAGAACTGTGGGAGATGGCTCCTATCTGCTGGAAGGATCAAGGGGTAAAGAAAGGATTCAGTGGTGTAGGCTAGGCAGGAGAATCATTGTTGAATCTAGTGATGGCAGGCTGGACCCAGAGCACTTGTCCTCTTTACATTTTATTTTATCAGAGAGTATCCTGTGAATCTGTGAGGATGAGAAGGGGTGTCTAGCATACCAGCTTCTAAGTACACATTTCCTTAACCTGTGATAGCCTGGCATCCTGAATAAATCTGTCCTGGACAGAGGGCAGAGGATCTAAGGGAGGGATAGTTGAATAAATCTATGGAAGGGTTTAGGGTGTATCTCCCTCTGGCTTACTTAGAGTAATTTGTGGTTATCAGCTGTGGTATCACCTATAATTCAAGTGGGCTGTCCTTGAGGATGAATGGATGATAGTGTAGTTGGATCCAATTACAGCTATTATAGAGGTCAAGATGTTGTTCCTTAAGACCATAAAGCTTCCATCCATTTACCTAAATTCCAGCAAGAGATGCAATTGGAGGGATGTTCTATAGATTCCTATTTTCTGGCTATATCTTGCCATCATCCAGCTTGTATTGTGGCCAAGCTGCTTTAACATAGAAAGATAAACTATTTGGGACTTTTTTTTCTTACGAGGCTGGGGATCAAATTTATTCTGGGTTTTTAATATGTAGCTAGGGGGTGAGTTGTGGGGGGTAGTTGGCTCCCCATCTGGAAGAGAAATATAGGAGGAGATACGGCATCCCTTAATTTTCTCTCTATATAGACCTTTGAGTAGGGCATTCTCCACACTGGGAAGCTACTGACTGAGCTGGCCTCACCACATGCTCTATTTCTAACTTGCAGTACTATCTTTGCTGTATCCCTTATCTTGAAGCTAACAGACTTAGATACCCTAACCACATATTCTTTCCTATAGGCCCCCTGTGGGAGTCAGGCCTTTCTGAATTATATAACTTTTGTGGTCTATGCTGGGGGGACCAGGACTGGAGTATATTCCTCAGGATTAGAAATTTTGCCAATTCTGTCTCATTTTACTCTCCGAAGCACTCTAAGGTAAGTGACCTATGGAATGCATCAGGATGTGAGTGTGTCCAGCTGGAGGGGGCTAGATTGAAAACTAGGCCTTGAGAAAACCTTTAATATTCTCCATTGTAGAGTCTATTGATGTTTAGCAGAGATTTCCCATTGATGTGGATGTTAATCAGAAAATAGGGGGGCTGGAGGGATGGATCAGTGGTTAAGAGTATTTGCTGCTCTTGCAAGGACCTGGGTTCAGTTCCCATTATACACATGGTGGCTCACAACCATTTGTAGCTCCAGTTCCATGGACTCTGATGCCCTCTTCTGGCCCCTCTGTACCAGGCATGCACATGGTACACGTACATACATGCAGGCAAACACTCCTATACACAAAAATAAATATAAAATTGATTGTTTTTGAAAAATGACATTAGGTGTCCGACCAAACATGTGAGGAAGGGAAGGAAAGTCTGACTGTTTGAGTCCTGGACCCAGTCCAGGACTTGCTTAAATACAATCCCCAGGGCTGGAGAGATGACTCAGTGGTTAAGAACGCTGACTGCTCTTGTAGAGGACCTGGGTTCGTTTTCCAGCACCCTTGTGGTGACTAATAACGGTCCAAAACTCCAGTTCCAGGGATCCAATGTGCTCTTCTGACCTCTGTGAGCATTGCATAATATGAATGCACTTACATACCTGCAAGCAATACACTCATACACATAAAAAGTTAAAAAAAATCAAACTCTTCTTATCTGTATCCTTTGCAGTAGTCTTTACAGCACTAAAAGAAGAAATCAAGGGGATGCACGGCCTGCGGATATTCACTTCTGTCCCCAAATGCTGATTATACCCGGCTGTGACACTGCTGCCTGAACCCTTGAGTGTACTTTGCTGACAGCGATATTCCAGGCAATTCTTGTAAAAATTATCTATTTTTGTTCATAGACATTTTCTATAATACAATAATAAGAGATGTTATCTATTAAGATATTAATTAAAGACCACAGATACTTAATGCTTAAAATAAATAAATAAATAAATAAATAAATAAAGCAATGGATACAATATTTTAAAAAATCTAATCCCCTTACAACTCCCCCCATCCATGTAACATCCCCAATTTTTTTATCCAGCTTTTTTTTCAAGTATTTCATTTATTATTTTTATTTTATGTGTATGAGTGTTATGCCTGCATGTAGGTAAGTGCACCTGTGTCGTGCAGTGCCTGCAGAGAACAGAAGAGACTGTCGGATTCCCTGGAACTGGAGTTACCAACAGTTGTTAGCTGCCATGTGGATGCTGGGATTCAAACCCAGGTCTTCTGCAAGAACAGTGAGTGTTCTTAACTGCTGAACCATCTCTCTAGCCCCCAACATCCCAAATTTTTATAAGACACTTTGGCAAAATTGCCAAGCACTTGGCAATTCTTAATCTATCACCTGTCAAAGAAGTAAACTGGCAATCCTGGGCAATAGGTGTAGCAGAAATGGGATCTGAAGATTTTCTGATTGGGCTTTGGGTAAAGTGCTTGCTTATTAGGACTTGAGTTCATATCCTCAGCATTGACAGGAAAGCTAGGTGCAGTAGTGTGTGTCTATAACATCAGCACTGGGGGGAGAGAATGCAGACAGGTAGATTACAGGGCTTCGATGGCCAGATTAGCCAGAATGGTGAGCTCCAGGTCAATGAGAGACCAGAAAAGGTGAGGTAAATAGTCACTGGAAGTAGTGAAATGTAGCCTGAGGAGCTCTTCCTCAGGTGCCTCTACTCAGATGAAGCTGTCTTGAAAATGCTGCAGAGAAAGAACTTCAGGACCACTCAGAGTAGATAGTGCACATTTGAGATTTAAGCATAAAAAGTTAGTAGGGGTTAGTGGTTTCCACATCTGCATAACCAAATCGTGATACCAGAAAGATGTTACCAGATGTGTGTGTGTGTGTGTGTGTGTGTGTGTGTGTGTGTGTGTGTGTGTATGCGCGCGCGCGCGCCATTGATTTCCTCTAGGAAAGAGTTTCTCCTTGACCTCACCAATTAGTCTAGGCTGACTGGCCCACAAGCTACAGGAACTCTGTTCATCTCCCAGGTACTAGAATTACAAATCTCATTAACACACCCAACCTTTTTTACCTGGTTCTGGAGATTGAACTCTGGCCCTCGTGCTTAAGAGGCAAGTGCTTTACCAACTGAGTAATTTCCCCGGCTCCTCTCCTTTGTTCTTGGTTCTCAAAGGCTATTCCACCCTGAATGCCCCTGATCTTGTCAAAGGAAAGAATTCAACTAAAAGACACAGACCATTCAAGAAAAGTTCTATTTAGTAAAGTGAAAGTGTACTCCAGAGAACTTGTGATTGGCCTGAACCAAGGTTAGGTAATGGAGAGTTGTCTTGGGTTTGTTATTTTTGTAAAGGTTTTTTTTAATGAATATTCATGAGGTAGGTGTCATATTCGTGGAGGTAAGATGATCATTTTCCCTTTGCAAATCATGGTGGACTGGAACTTCTTCATGTGATCCTATTGAAAAGCCCACAAGGGGTAGGGGACATTGTAACATAGTAAACATTTTTACTGGTACTATGTGAAATATTTATATACATGGTAATAGACAAGAAGGTAGTGATAGCTGTGTCCAGCTAGAGGAATTCTGGGTAATTTTTTCCTCTTTTACGAATACTCAGCAGATGCTATATGCTAGAAACTAGTATGCTAGAAACTAACATGTTCTGTTCATGATTTAACTCCAGGATCATCAAACATAGCACATTTGGCCTTGCTGGGCCTATTTTCCTTTTGCTCCTTTTGTCTTTATTTTGGGGGCGTCTTCAGGGACTCTGGGTCTTCCTGTAGCCCCAGCTGGTCTGGAACTCACTATGTTGATTGGATTAACCTCAGTCTCACAGATAACTGCCTGTTTCTTTCAAGCGCTGGGATTAAAGGTATGCGCCACCATACCTGATTGTTTTGTCTTTTGAGACAGGATCTCATGTGTCCTAGGCTGGCCTTGAACTCCTGATCCTTCTGTTTCTACCTCTCAAGTGTCATTTTTTAACAATATAATGTATTTAACCCAATATACAAAAATAGTTGTTTTGACATGTGATATATACATTAAATATTAAAATATATTAATGAAACATTTTACATTCTTTTATTTGGGCTAAGTCTTTGAAATCTGATGTGTGTTTTATGCTTGTGGCACATATCAAAAGGGTCTAATCCTGTCTTAATTTTTTTGAGGCAGTGTCTTGCTATATAACCCAAACTGTCCTCACATTTGGTGTGTAGCCCAGGCTGACTTCAGATTCATGGTCTTCCTGCCTCTGCCTCTCAAGTGCCCAAATTATAGATGTGTGCCGCCATGCCTAGCTATTTAGCTATTATTTTATATTTTAAGGGATTGTTTTAATAACAGAAGGTACAGGCATCATTTAAACCTTACGTGGTCTACAAAGCTTAAAATAGTTCTAGTTTTGCTCTTTGTCGAAAGCATTTCCTGATCCTTGATTTCATTTTATCCTGACAGTAATTGTAGTGGGGAAGGTGCTTTTCTTATAATCCGTTTCACAGATTTGCAAACTGACACAGACAAATTATTGCAACTTTTTCTTGGCATTTACCAGGTTTCAGAACACACTGTAAGCTTTTCCTACAAACTTACTAATTAAAACTGTATTTCTTTGTAGTGTGAAAAGTGGATAGAGACTTACATGTCAAAAGATGGCACGGTCACGATCTAGATCCCCCAGGTGGAAACACAGGTGAGCAGTTCCTAGTTTAACAGAGTAAGCTTGGATTTGGGATGTGCTGTGACTTTGAAATTCACCATTACTGCTAAAACTTCTATTTTAATAAATTCATGGGACCTGGGTATTCACAGTAGGTGATTTATTATGGTAGACTATATCTAGATTCTGGGAGTGAACAACTTTATTGAATTGGGACTGGCAGCTAGAATTAATTTATAATAAAAATAATGCACTGACCATAATCAGAGAGAATGAGAACTGTCTTTGAGAGGGTTACCTGTTTTAAGCTAGTGAGAAGTTTATAAATCTTTAGTGTATGTTTCATTTTATTTTTCATAAGAAATAAAAATTTTAAAGAAATACAGAGTCAGAAAGGGTGTTTCCTATCTTCTTAGCAGAATAGTAGTCTTTGAAAAGTTCAACTGTAGTTAACCCTCCTTTTCTTCTGGTGGATAGTATCAATACTATAGTACATATAATAAGATTGAAATAGTTCAGCTAATTTATTGTACATCAGATACACTCAGGTTCTGAGGCTACTCATGCAAATATGGTATCTTCCATGGCCTCAGCAGGTACAGGGACTGTCAGGGGAGATTGCTACAGTAGGCAGCTCTGATAATGGCAGGAAAAGTACTATGTTACTGACTGAGACAAAGCATTCTGCGTCTGTAGGAAGAGAATAATTTTGCTTTATGGGAGGGAAAGGAGGATACTAAGAAAGTGTTCAAAGGAGATGAAAAGAAAATTTTAAATAGATGTTTAAGGATGGGTAGAATGTCTAAAGGTACAAAGAGTGCAGAAAGTATTCTGGTCAAACCATTAGAACAGGAGCAAAGGCACAGAACTATAAATGGAACTAGTATGTTTTAGGAGGGAAAAATTAAAAGGACCATTATTTCATACTCAAAATGTAGACCAAAATTTTTATGTTGATATAACTTTGTCACTGCTTTTTCTTTCTAATAATACAGTGACTAATTGATCAGTTCTTTAGTTTTCATTTTATAATTTCACAAGCTCATGTTGTACTGAGGAGAAGCTTCAAAAAGAAAGGGGAATATAAAGAAAGAAATGTCTTTAACATCGAAGATTTCACAGAGATTGTTTTGTTTTATTCCTTTTTAGTGAGGCACTCTGGTAATGGGAGACATTGCCAACCTTAGTACCTGATTTTCCAATGCCTTCTCCAGGGTTCTTTGTCAAGAACTGTAAAGGGTTTGCCATTCTATCCTACCTGCAAGCTAACATATTAGCTTGCCACAAGGTACTCCCGGGTTAGAAACAAAGGCCTCTGTTACCCATAGTATAGCAAGCAGCTTGAGCTTCATGTTCTTCTCATTCCTTCTACCCTGTAAGTCCTCTGAGGGCCAGCACTGCTGAGTGGCTGGGTGATGCAAAGCAGTGGGGTTATGTCATAGGCTCTCACAGGATTATGACGCAGCTGAGGAACTGGAGTCCCCTAAGAAGCACATGCAAATTCTCCCAGCCTTTACCTTGGAGTAAACATTAGCTTATTACCTTGCATAGCAATCAAATATACCCTCTATCTCTGAGGGCAACCCTATTTTCATTTTTAAGGCTGTTCGCCTGAGAACAGAAGCCGTCATTGCCTCCTCTCACAAGGCGTGCAAAACTCTAGAGACTGGAGAGTTGTCTCCCAATAGCCTAAACTCCCTGGGTCTCTTTTGTCTCTTTAGGAGAACTGGAAATGGTAACAGCCATTATAACAAATTTACATAGAAGAAATGGGTGGTAAACAATAAGATATATGCTATAAATTATATCAAAGCTGTTTTAAATGTGAGGTAAGGATTAAAGTAACTATTTCATCTAGTCTAGAAGACCCCTGCCTCTGACTGCCAGATTCTTTCCTTATCAGTGAAAAGGGATGAAATCTTCCAGGAAGTCTTCAGAGGCTCTAGTTGCTTCCCTTTCTGTGATGAGGTGTAGCTAGCTGGATGGCAGAGTTTCTACTTGAGATAAGTAATATTTGCCAATATGTCTATCTTGATGACTCATATTGCCAAGTCCAGTGTAAATGGCCTAACTAGGTACCTGAGGAATATAGATCTGCCTCCCTTCTTATATAAAAGACCCAGATTTGTCATAAAAAAAGAAAGAGATTCATTCTTAATCATGCCAATTCTTTGTTGGCTTCTTTAAAGCAGGTGATTAATTAATTTCCAGAGTAACTTTCCTATTGATTTGGACACTAAAAAAATTGCCGGGGCAACTTTCTTACTGATTTGGAGACATTTAAACCCATCAGGGGAGAAAGGTTCTCAGATGCAAAACTGAACTTTATTGTGTTCTATATAGCTTTGTGGCTGGGCAACCTAGAGTGTTTTCCATAATATGGTGGTTTTCCTCAGTGGGAATAGAAGTCTACTTGTTGGCAATGCCAAGATACCAGAAAAGATAGATATAGAAAAGATATACTGCCCCTGGAGAGCAACTACATTAAAGCATACTTTTGCCAGAGTTACAAGCTCTGTTTGAATATCACATACTTCAGTTGATATGTAAGGGAGGAGATTTTGGAAAGAAAAGCAATTTATTTATACTAGAAGTATTTTATGAAGGGCTAGACATGGTCGTGCACTCTTGCATTCCCAGCATACACGAGGCAAAGATAGAAGGATTGCTGTTAAGTATAAGGTCAACACAGCCAGTACCAACCAGGCTGACCTTTGCTAATAGAGTGGGACTCTGTTTCAAAACCAGAAACAAACCAAAAAACTTATGGAGGAAAAGTATGGAAATTGAAGTCATAAGATTGTTTTCTCTTCCCTGCCCATGCTAGCTGTTATGTTTCTTACTGCTTGATACAGCCTGAGGGGCAAGAATCGGTTGGAAAATCAGTTGGAAAAACTATGGACTCATTTCTGGGTGTCAGTTTGGATTGTAGCATCGTTATCTTAGAATGTAATTTCAGAGGTTATGTTTGGTTTTCTTGGCACTTTTCTACATACTTAACTTCTTGTTACTTCACTCCTGATGGTTCATACTTGGCTATTGAACCCGAGTTTTTGATCAGGTTTTCCTGATTGGCCCTTGAAGTCACTGCATCTACTTTTGCTAGAACTTTGCCATCAGGAATCTTTCACAGTAGATCCTGCTCTGTACTTGAGCTGGTCCTCTTCCAGTAGCATAAGCATATTCAGCCCATTTTGTGGTGCACATTTAGTACATTAGTTTGGATGAAAAGAGTATAATTGCCAAGTAGGATAAAACCATCCTTAGACCCTCCTCCCCAGATATACAATTCAGAGTGTGTAGTATAACAAACTGATAAATTTACTTTCAATGTGAAAAGTAGTAGAATTCTTGGAAAGGCAGATATTTTAGGTAGCTCATATTAAGAGAAAAAGTCAATTCTCTCAAAGTGAACTAAACTTTTCTGTGCTTGTTTACATAGGTCTTTGTCACCACAACCTAGAAAATTTGAATACTATGAGGAAAGACATTCCTATGGGCATCATGGCTGTGAATATAGAAAAGATCCCAAAAGACCCATTGCTTGGAGAGTGGTCAGTGAGAAACATGGAGAGAGTAAACCAAGGATTCCCCCTCGTGGAAATAGGCATTATGGGTATTATGAAAATATACCACCTTCCCCAAACATAAGAAATTCTGTAGAAAAATCTTACACATACAAGCCTCACCAACTATATTTGCCTAAAAGAGGGGATGGTAACAGAAGAGCTCCATATATGCCCACATACTCGGAAGATACATCCTACATAGAGCATGAGAGAGATAGTTATCCCCCCAAAATGCAAGGAAGGTATATTCCTGATGACCACAGAGTTAGAGAAAGTGGAAGAGGAGGAAAGCCACCTCAAAGGCCAGTAGAAGAAGATTCGTTTAGATTTGAAGGAAAATGGCATGAAGATGAATTGAGACACCAGAGACTACAAGAAGAAAGATACTCCCAGTCACCTAGAAGAGGCCCAGAAGACTTTGACACAAGGAGCTCTTTTCAGAAGAGGTATAGGAAAGCATTAAACCTGGATAGTTTGGCATAAAGACTCAAGGGGAAAAGTCTGTTAGTTTATGTTAGAGATGACTACCTTTTTGTCTGAAAAGATAAAATACTTTACTTATGATCCAATGCTGGTAGTGAAGTAGTAAATTCTTTTGCAAGTAATTCATGTTAAAGGCTAGAATATTTTTTAAAGTTATTATTTTCCTTTTTAACTATCATATGCCTCTGAGTTGGCTTGACGTACTATAGGTATTCTTGCCACTGTATGCCGTGTTTTAAATTTGTTGCCCAACATTCTATACATAGAAATTTTCACTTTCCTCTGTGTAATACAAATGTAAATTTCTTTATGTCAACACAGGTATCCTGAGGATCATGATTTCAGAATATACGGGTACACATCAAAAAGGCCTACAGATGCAGCAAGATATGAAACTAGAGAGCCAGCCGGGATTCCAATGTGGAAGCCCAAACATCCTCTTCTACCTTATCAAGAGAAGAAAGATCAGCGGGGCTTTGGATTCCCAAGTCACCGGTACCCAGAGAGAAAATACCCAAAGACTAGTTCAGCAACCAAAGTATCCTATGACTATCATCACAAACATCATAAGCTCTCAGATGGTGAGCAGGACTTTCCTAAGGACAGAACACAGAAGTACTTGAAAGAAGACAGAAAATATAGTTCTCAAAAAGGCCCTATAAATAGAGAGTCAAATTGTTTTAATGCTTCAAGAGGAAGAGAGACTGAAAATGAAGAAGTCAGAGAACGTTTTAAAATATCTAAGAAAGACTGTGTTGCCAATATTAATTCAAATAGAAATGTGCTTGATTTGAGGCCCTGTAATGACAAATGGAAGAAAAAAATAAACAAAGACAAGGATTGTAGAAAAGAGAGCAACTTTTCCAGTAATCAACCTGATACAAGCCAAGAAATTTCTGATAATATATCCTCTTCATCCGCCAATCTTCGGAAGACATCACTTATAATTAAAGTAGATATGAGGAAAACAGCCAGGGTGTTCAGGTATTATCTTTTTGAGTTTTGTT